TCGACCTGGAAGTCGAGAAGATAGGGAAAGAGATTCAGTTTCTCTCGTCAAGAATCCACTGGACAGAAAAGGTGGGACTCCGTTCTTCACAGGAACCCCGACCTATAGATGTCCCACGATCTATCAAACATACAGTATACAGCATCGAAACAATAGTGGTTCAAGCGACAGCCTCAGCAATACATTTAGCGAATATATGGAACGCTAAGTGGAAGCTAGTGATTTATACTACTTGGTTGATAATGTTAGTAATACTAATCGCTAAACTCAACATTCTTAAATGGGTCGTCACCTTAGTAGGACAGCCTATAATACTAATATATTATATTCGCAGGCAACTGCTAAAGAGAACAACACAGATAGACCAGATAGACCTAAAGCAGTCAACACATAACGACTACAAGGACAATCAGATGCCTGAAGAGTTTAAAACTAATGTAATAATACCAATAAAAATGAGGCCCTTGAAGGCTTCAAGAGCGCCTCCACCAAATTCTTGACCCTCTTAGCGTGGAAGGTGCTCCTGTTAACAGCAGAAAAAAACAAAATTAAAGAATTCAAATTAAAAGCTAAGCTATTTACCTATTTTTTTCTATTTTGTTCTTTTCGCCTGTATCTTCCGAATTATCGTTACCAAAAAAAGAATCACAAACAATTTACCATTTTAATTGAAAGAAGGTAAAAATATAATTAAACGAATTAATATCTTAACTATTTCTTCCCGATTGAAAGAAATCAAAAAATAATAATAATCAAAACTAATAAACAGTATTTTAATGATTTCCAAAAAAAAAGAGAAGAAGAAGGTTTTTTAAAGCACAAAATAAAGAAGCAAGGAAAAACCAAATTATATTAAGATATTCCTTTTGTTGATTAAAACAAAAAATCGAGCAGGGAGGAGGTTGATCCCCCTCATCTTAATTTTGACGTTATTTCATCTCCACTGTTGTCAGTTTACACCTTGTTGGTTGTTATATCACTTTTATCCACTTATGCACGTGTTGTAAAAAGCTCTTGCTCCGATTGTTAATTGTTTTTATGCTGCCGCTCTGATTTGATAATTGAATGTATCAAGTGATTTCCTGTAACCAGGCGGTCCAGCGCAGACACTTCTTAGCTCACAGGGAAAGGCGGGTTGGGGCGCGACGACCAGAAAAGAGGTCCGCAGGCAAATAGCAAAAAAATAGCCCCTCAATTTTATCAACTCAAGGCCGACATCCCAAGACCAGGGCCATCTCGCTTGTCCAGCAGATATAGAAGGAGTACTCAGCTCAGGACGATACGCAGTGTCGCTGAAAGGCGAGTTTAGAAAAAGATCAGGAGGAACAATGGTAAAGTCACACAGATTGCTAATGGTCAGGGCACCGAGGGATAAACGTGGCTGTAAAAGACACCAATCAGTATGAATTATTGTTTACAGTGACAACTTGCAAAGCTAAAGAGATTGCTATTGGTCAGAGCATATAGGTCTAATCATAACAATAATCCATGATTGACCTCAAGATCAACAACGACAGCAATCTGGAGCTGTTGACAATATGTTGTAAATCTCCAGATTGACCTGAAACTGTTGTAGAATTGGTAACGGATTATTCTACTCAGACTGTAAACATCATCTTAATCTCGACAGATTGGCAATCGGCTGAAACACTATATAAAGGGGGGTCTTGGAGTAAAAAGTGATGAGTCTTACTTTTTCTACTCTGGAGCTCATTTTCTCCTTTACTTTTCTCTTAATGCTAGTTATAAATGTATGCTTAACTAACATTTCTTGTAGAAATACTTATATTGTTGTTCTGTTCGTTTGTGTGTCAATGTGTAACCTATAACCTTTTTCTGTATAATTTTGTCAGTACTAATATGGTTTAATTACCCAAGTTTGAGGTTTGGAATAAACTTATTGAACCCAATAAGTCCTGCGTGGCAGACATCAAATTAACTCACAAGTTTTGCTGGCAATAAAACTGTGGGTGTACTAAAGAAAAGAGGATCTAATCTCTGGGACACAGTACTTAACTCAGAGAACCCAGCTGTCTTAACTGCCGTCAGTAACAAGGAACACTGGCAGAAAATAGAACAGTGGACAGAAGAAAAACTAGTGGACAACAAACCAAAAAACAAAAAATTTTACTCTTTTCTTTACACCCAGTCATGATGTCGTCTAGAGTGTGTCAGTCCAACGACTATTTGGGGAGGGGGGGGGGGTTTAAGCCACCAGTTTTCCCAATTGAATCCCCCGTCCTCTGCGAGACATCTGCCTCATTAGATAGAGGGAAATCTACCCCTCCACTAAGCAAGGTAGACGCAGGCGGAACTGGTGACCAGCCTCATCCGTGCATTCCACCAGATGCTCGGTATCTATAAAGAAGGGCTGGGCATTACTTGTCTAACAAAAAGGGATACCCGAAAAGGACTGCAAGAAAAGAAATGTTCCTAAACTATTTGGGACTACACTTGGAAAATCTGCGAGCCGAATCAGGAAGCTGGTCTTCGGGAGTGTTGCCGAAAGGCGAAGATGAAACACTCCCGGAAACCCCGGGAGCAACCGACATGAGTTATCAGGAAGATACTGAAAAAGAGGGTCCGATCCCGACGATTTTAGCTTTAATCCCGGTGAGGAAGAAGATAAAGCAGAGGATGATAACCCGCTGGAGCAGGCTGTATAAGAAAGTCCACACACGGACAAGAGGCAGAAAGGAGTGATCTCTTCTTTGTTTTATATTAATTTGGTGATTGGTTTTATCTATACTGATGAATTAGCGTTTTTTAATACTGTTTTTATATTGTATAACGGGTTTAGTTAAGTTTGAGGTTTACTGGAGTGTTGTGTTTGCGATCTCGAAGTAAACGTCGTATTATTGAATACTGAAGTTCCGCGTGGCAGCAAGCCTTGGTGACAGATCGATCAGGATAGTCACCACGAACAGTTATCAAACAAGAAAAAAAAGGAAAGGAAAGAACTGAGGCAGAGTTTTTCTTCTTTACGGTATCCATTTAAAGTTCATTTCTTTGTAGCGTTCTATCGCATGTAAACCATATTTAAAAACTTATAGGCATAGAACTATAAAACAAAATCTTCATTTTAAACCGAAAACTAGTTAATTACCCGCCTAAAATTCCTGACATGAATTTGAAAAAAACACTAGGAAGGGAAAAATGAAAATTTTCCGGACTTTAATGGATGTGATTCGCGAAAAATTCACTTTTCTTGATTTTCTCTAGTTTTTCAAATTGGAAAACAAACTTTACCAATAGATGAGAAAAAAAAAATCTGAAGTGTCGTATGAAAAGCGTATAATGCAGTGTGAAATCGCCGTATATCAATAAATATAAACCGTAGAAATTATCCACACATCCTCTTGTTATATGACCAGAACACGAGTAACCAAGTAGCAACCTCCGATGAAAGACATCAAAACTGCAAAAGAGGCTACTTTCTTTAAAGTTTTCTCTAGACTTTACTTGCTGTGTCCTTTTAACTAGGTAGCCAACTAAGTTGTATTCTTGTTAAGAGTGGGAGAAATGGCTGTAGATTCATCAACGCACTCTCAAGATTGGCAGACAAAATGTGACTAAAACTTTTCATAACAGTGTGGATTGCTATTCCAGGAAGCTTGTGAAAGTAGACAAGGAGTGTCGGTAGATTCCATTTTCAGTGTACTTCATCTGTGTTGTAAACAGAAGCCTATCATTATATTTGATTCTATTTTTATTAACAGCTAAATGCAGCAAGAATAAAACGTGTACTAGTATTAAAAGTGGCTATGGTGACAGACGAAAGTAAAGATGATAAAAGCTGTGACAGGAACAGGAAACAACAGTAATAAATTTGTAAAGTAGTATAAGCGAGAAATAAACTGTGGTGATGTTTGACGGCTAAAACGAGCTATATGACACACAGAAATAACAATGCTAAAGTTAGCAGCCCTATCCATTGTTTAAAATAGTTTCTTCTTGGCTGTAAGAAGTGAATGGCTGTTATAAAACTTAACTTCATATACCAATACAATCATTGTTTCATCGAAACGCAGCGCTGTGCATCTCGTTTTTTAGAGACAAGCAAAAATATTTTGGTGCCTCGCATACAGCGTGTGGCCGAATATGCAATAATGCACATATTATTCTTCGCATTCACCTCTGGTTTCCTAAAACGACAAAACTTTCGCTTCTAAATCTGTCAAAATTATAGCGGAATCAAAATGAGGCAGCGAAGCAGATAAAATTTCCTAGCTACCAACTTTAGCATTACATGAGTCAACAAAACAGATTTAGCTTTTAAAAACCATAACCATTGATTACAAGGAAAGTTAATATGAGAATAAAGAAAACTTTCTCCCGCTCACGGTTAAGAAGAAAAACTTGTGCTGCTGGCTGCACTATATCGATAGTAATTGCAACTATAGCAACACTTTTCCATTAATTTCGTATCACATCTAAAATTAAATAGTTTTCATCTTTGGTGAAAACTGATCTGAAATTAAATGAGATGCTTTTCTTCTTCTACAACAAATTAAGAGATCTGTAGAGAAATCAGAAAAAAAGGGCTTAGACAGGTATAGTAGTTTCACTAGCATTAGCTGAAAGAAAGCAGACCTTTGGAAAACTTTGATTATATCGCAATAGCGAAATTTATCAACGCAGTGACGGTTCGATAACATTGCAAAATCTAAATAAGCTATATGCCAAAATAATCTTCGTCTTCAAACTGTTTGCAAAAATATTTTCCTTTATTCTAACTAACAA